TGAACAGGGGAGACTTAGTGATCTGCAGAGGTGTGGACTCGAGTCGCATGACTTGGACTCGAGTCAGACTCGAGTCATCAATTTGATGACTTTAGACTCGACTTGACAAAATGTAAAGAGAAGCACAAAAACAGTTCACTAATGTAAACACCGGCCCTGGGTGCAGAGCGGTGTAAAAAAAAAATATATATATATATATATATATATTAGCAGTAAAATGTGCACAACAGAAAAGGTGCTAATGGTTAGCTTACTTCAAGGAGGTGGAAGGAGTATTTAGATGAACCACAGGCTAAGCTGTGTGCTTCATTAATTGTCTACATTGAATGGTAAATCAATGAGTTAATGCACTAATAACGCATTGACTTGCCCAGCCCTGGTATTTATACAAACTCGTGCTAAGTAGTTCTACAAATTCAATTTAATGATGTGACAAATGAAGTTCTTTAGTAACTTTACATATTCACCACATTAAAACTGATCATGTTTTTTTTTTTTTTTTAAAGTTCAGGCTTCTTTGTGTAACATTTAATTTGACTTTAGAGTGGTATATATAAATCTCTAGGACTGAACTCTTTTCCTCCCTCCCCCCAACCACCTGCCTGTCCTCTGTCTCACCCCCGCATCATAAACTACTGCTGCTGTTCTTCCAGTGTCCTTTCAGCCCTAAATCCTCGTCCTCCTCTTCTTCCTCCTGCACCCATCCCTTCTGTCTACAAAGATGCACCAGATGCTGGAGAAGGAGCCGCAGCCTCAGGAGTGAGAGTCAGCAGGTCATCATTACTTGTCATTGTGACACAGCACACCACTGCACACACAACCAAATGTGACCTCTGCTTTGAAAACCATCGCCAAAGTGAACAGGGGGACAGCTGAAGCACACACAGGGACGGTACCATGCTCAGTGGTAACCTAGTAGCTGGTGGATTCGGATCTGAAAATGTCCGGGACCCAAGTCCACTTCCTTAACCACCAAGCCACCACTGCCCCTATTGATTTACAGGCTGTTGTGATTTTTGACAGAAATTTAGATTTTATCCAACAATTTCTGGTCCAACAGTTTTGGACCAAACCTCATCATGAAAAGGAACCAGGCGATTAGTTCTCCCAAACATTAAAGACTACACCCATTGGTCCATTCAAAACGATGGTCCATTCTCAACTGTCCAACTGTTCAAGGACCACTCTGGTTTTGAAACCAATGAAGACATTTTAAATGACTTTTTTTTTTTTATAAAACTTTGCCAATAAACCCCCCCCGACTCTACCGTCTGACCCTCTCTCTGTCTGATCGCTATGCTAATTCAGAAGTGAGTGATGTTTTCTGCTATGCTAATGTGGCCTGTTGTAATTAGCAAAAGTCTGCCCGTGTTGTTCTTTGGGGTCACACACACACACACACACACACACATCATCATCTTTCGGTGCTGATGTCTCCATCATTAATCGCGTGATTGATTCAAATACTTATCTCGGTAACAATCAGGAGACTTGATTTTTTTTTTTTTTTTTTTCACTTCATGAAACCAGACTCTCGTACACAAACAGCGGACACTTTAATCAATAAATATTTGTTTTTATGTTTGCCCTCAATAAGAAAAGGCACTGAAGGTAAAGAGAATACAAACACCCACACCCACACACAGACCTGCACACTGACAGCTGTTGCCAAAACCGTGGCCTGCCTCTCTATTCAGAGTTGGGGCCTTTAAGGGCTTCATTCAGACAGAATAGCTCGGTGTGTGTGTGTGTCTGTCACAGTAGGGGGTGGGTTCTGCAGCAGCTGTTTGCCTCGCACTCTACTCACAGGTCGGTGAGTCTGATGATTACACAGACACACGTAAACGTCACAGACCTTCATATTGGTGAATGTTTTAGGTTCAAATTCCAAAATACTGTAATTTCCCGGACTATTGAGCGCATCTAAATATAATCCGCACCCACTAAATTTAAAAAGGAAAAATATACATATGCATATATTTACACTGAACGTTTTGGGTTTTTTTTTTTTACTTTAATCACTCTAATTAAATAAATAAATTTTTTTTTTTCCAAACAGTGCCTGTAACATAGCTCTTTTCCTGCTTTGGAGCCCCCGCGACTGTAGTTGGAATACACATGGGAGGCTTAGTGATCTGTTCCAGGAGGCAAGCTAACATTAGCTCCAGTGCTAACTCCCTTCACTTTGTGCTTGTCCGTAACAGTGGTAAACAGAAACAGACTTAATGATCTGCTCCAGGGCTGAAGCTAACATTAGCTCCAGTGCTAACTCCCTTCACTTTGTGCTTGTCCGTAACAGTGGTAAACAGAAACAGTGAAGTTGGGGTCTTTATTATCAGCCACACCGACCACAACAGAACATAAACAGAGTTTTAACAGCTCCTGTGTAACCAACTCACCCTTCAACATGACAGGGGCTGCTCTCAACTTTCGCAACCGTTCTCTCTCTCGCGCGCGCGCCTCTTACGACAAAATTATATTCTGTGTTATTATTCACCATTTGACTTACACTGAAACTCACATAGTCAGTGGAAAAACACTGAAACAACCAGTGTTAGCCAGTGATGGGAAATCTACTCGTTATAGTTTCTCAGGCTCCTAAAGGGCCTTGAAAAATGTATGTAAAAATGTAGGTGGCGATTGTACTGAGGCCAACGTGCACTCATATTCTTGTACGCACGCACAAATGTACCCAGCGCTCTATAAATGTCACATGTACTTGTCTGCAAACTGGCGCTCTCGAACAGCTCTCTGTAAGACCTGCGCCCCAGAGCTTCATTAAAGCTTCGACAACAACTTTCAATAAATTCTCCGATAAATTCTTTAAAATGAACAACACAATTGTTCATTATCTGTTTTATTCTTCATTAATAATAAAATTTAAAAAAAAAAAATAATACACAGAAGTCTACCAGAAAGGTCATTGATCGCTAGCGGTATGAACTTTGTTAGCCTGTAAAAATCCATAGATTAGCCGCAGGGCTCACAGCATATTAAAAAAGTAGCAGCTTATAGATCGGAAATGACAGTGTATCCAAAAGTGAAGCTTTGGAAAAAGAGTTGGGTACTATGTAGTATGTAAATCTAGAGCAGTCCAGAAAAGGTCCAGAAACCTTTTTTTTTTTTAACTAGAACGCAGTGTAGATTTGGTGAAATTTAGAGAAATACGATAAAGCCTGACAGAGAGTGACAAACATGAACCGTGTTGGTGAAGGACAGCTGAGCTCACCAACAGGAGCCTGGTTACAGGTAATGAAGTACGCTGAAGTGCATTTATTAACTTCTGTTCATTTCGACCACATCAGAGCGGACCAGTCCAAACTGCATTCTGATAGCATTAGATTTGGTTCATGCTGAACTGGACATTATTGAAAGGTCGAGCTGGTCAACGAAGCAGGTTGACCATAACGGGGTGAAGGTTGTTCAGTGACCTCCTGCCTCTGTATCAGTGTTTCTCAAATAGTGAAACGGGGCCCCCCCTGGTGGCGCGGTGAGGTGCCAGGGGGGTGTGAATGTGGCATGCTGGACATAAGTGTACCACTTGCTGTAATGCTTGAATGATAACAAGCCTCCAGTCACTAGGTGGCAGCAGCTCATACAGTGGTTTGTACAGATAAATATATACGTTATAAGGTTCTCAATAGGATTTCAATTTGTGGGGGTGTGGGTCGGGGCATAAAAACATTTCTGTCCCCAAGTGGGGCTATGACAGAAAATAAGAAATAGTGCCCTAAATGGTCTTAATGTCTTAAGACTAAGGGTTGACCAATAAAACAAGCATCATCCACATACCACGGTTTTAGGGTAGCAAATTACATTCTCTGCTGTGTTTTCTTCACGTCACATCATAATTTGATGTGGAGTTCACAAAAGTGATGGAGGAAAATGTCATATGGGTTTTGAGTGGTAAGCAGACTGTGGTTCAGGAGCTAAAGGTCAAAAGTTATCTTTATGCAGATGATGTGTTTTTTTTTTTTTTTTTTTTTGGTGAAGAAGACATTGTTCTTTCGGGTATTTGTTTAGCCTGAACTAAAGCATGTTATTCATAGCTTTGTCCGGTTTAAAAAATGGCAAAACGTTTTTTTTTTTTTGTTTTTTTTTACTCATTATCGTTAAATATTGATTATCTAGTCAAATTTATGTACATGACAAAAAGAAAATTCTGGTTTTCACAAAGACAAATTTTCGACAAAAAACAAATCAGTGAAAAAAATATGAATCAAATCATTTATTTTTTTTAGGTTTCCATTTAACACACTTTAAATGACAAAGAGAAAATCTTCAGATCGAAAATGTAGAATGTATTGTTTGTTTTCTACATTTTCTGGATGTGTGTTTATGCACAGTTTCCTAAATTCAGTGTTACCTTTCAAACGTATATAACATATTGTTTCAATTTAAAAGAGTCTTAATTTACTTTCCTTGTCTTTAAGCAAAATCTTAACATAGTTACATATTGTTTTAATATATTTTGTTATTTTTGAAACTGAATTTAAAAAGTTATTAAAGTAATTTTACAATTTAAAAAAAAACACATTGTCTACAATCATTATCAACATCTTATTCCCTACAATGATCTCTAAATCATGTTTAATAATTAACATGAGTTTTTTCTAATTTAAGTAATTAATTCTAATTCTGTTTTTTCTCATTGAAAAAGTTATTGTTGTATTTTAACTTAATTTTCTTATTACCTTTATTTGTCACATTCTGATGTAAACCTTTCAATATATTTCTTGAAAGTTTTTAAATAATTTTGTCAAACTTCCAATAATAAATAAAAGGTATTTTTAAATATTTTACTTATATTTTCAAATTTTATCTTATTAGTTTCAATTTTGCACGGTTTTCTTTTAATAATTTTTTCTTCTGTATTAAATTTCTTAAGTAAAACCTCAATTGGATTTTTTGATTTTTTTTTTCAACATTTCCAAGAATAAGTTTCTAAAGCGAAACTTTAGGGGAGTTTTTTTTTTCCTTTTTTTTTTTTTTTAATTGTTAAATTTCTAAAGTGAAACCTTTAGAGAATTAAGACAATTCTGGAAAGTGGAAAACATTAGCGCTGATGTGCAACTGTTGGTTCTGTTGCTCAGCCCAGGAGGACATCATTCAGAAAAGTCTCTTTCCAAAAGACGACCTCTTCCTCCGCACCGCTTCTTCTCCTACTGCGCGTGCGTCACGTTTGCGGCATCTGCTCTGAGAGGTTTTTTTTTCTCAAAACACCTCAGGACGCAGAACTCGCTTCTCCTTCCTCTCCAAACCTCATCCACACAAAGAATGAGGGTCGACGTGTGCCGCTCTCGTTTCATGCCTGACCTCATTCACAGAAAGAATGAGAGTCATCTTGGCATGGACAGGTACGAGAGTCGACGGTTCACGGGCCGGGGGCCCCTCTCTTTCCTTCAGCAGAGGGGGCCGGGGCCGGCGCTGTGCTGCCTGGACCAGAATCCTCCTCAGGAGTATCCAGGGATGAAGAGAAACAGGGTCACCCTGCAGGTCAGGATGAGTATTTCCAGACAAAAAGATTCACAAATGTTGAATCTCAGATCAGATCAACGACCGGGGAGGTTGATCTCAGGAAGCCAGTCGTTAAGACGACGGCTCTCCTCACAGAACAGGTGCAGTTTCTCCAGAGCAGGGTCCTCCCAAGAACCATCAACTGGGTTCTGTGCCAACAGAAGAAGAAAAGTATGGTTAGATTCTCTGGAAGCAGCACCACAGAATGTGTAAAAACATCAGTTCAGGCTGAATTAACACATAAAAAGAAAAACAAAATCAACAAATAAAAATAACTAAAAACTTGTAATGTAGTGGTCTTAAGTTTTAAAACAAATCGCTACAATGTCAAGACACTGATCCAGGTTTTCCTTTGATTCATTTAATAAAACTGACAGCAAGTGCTTTTTATCACGATGCTCTATAACACGACACATATCGCGATACATACCGTGATGAGGACGCAGTGAGCGTCTTCCAGTTGCTCGACTTTGTCTCCGCCGACAATCTCAGCCAGTCTCTGTGTGTCGCTGACGCGCACGATGCTGATGTCGTTGTCGAAGCAGAAGGACTGGATCAGTGTGAAGTGGATCTGCAGCGCGATGTCGCACTCAAACTCCTCGTCCGTGCCCAGGACGCAGAAGGACACGCTGTCTGGGTCTCTGTGGACAAACAAAGAGAAGATACTGTTAGCCGCCGGGTTGATATATTTTTTTTTCAAATATTGTTCAAGTAAAAGCTGAAGCGAAGTGAACGTACTCAGTCATGATTTTCGCGCTTTCGTAGACGCCAACAGTGAGCCTCTGCTCGCTCTGAGCCCACAGCAGAGTGTCCTGCAGGGCTTTGCCAGGAGACTGCATGGTACACAGAAAGGTGTCAACAGAGGAAGAACACGTAGTCAGAGTAGAAGTACAAAAAGGACTTTGTGCCGCTTCCTAGAATCTTCCAGGCTTTTATACTCCAGGGCCGGCACACGTCACTGCCTTATTGGCTGTTGGGTGAACAAAAGGTTCAAGCAGGCCTCCACCCTGAGGGACACGTGCCTTTACAAAGACTGGAAAAGTCAGGGGGCAGGTTTAAAGGAAGAAAGGCTCAGCTGTAGTTAAGTCTGACCTTTGAATGGGAGAGGGTCTCAAAAAACTGTTGTGCTACTGAGAATTTTTTTACCAAATGTTTTAAATCCTTACCAAAGTACTATCAGTAAAATGATAGGTTTAACCTCACAGTGCTACATGAGCTGCTAGTCCGCTTGACGGTCCACTGATGCTCTGCTGCTGATGGTCCGCTGATAGTCTGCTGATGGTCCACTGATGGTCCACTGATGGTCCGCTGATGGTTAACCGATGGTCTTCTGCTGCCTACTGTGGTTAATTGCTGTCACTAGGTTAATTCTCAGAAGAGTTTTTCTAAGTATAAAATGTACAAAATAATTTGAGTTTACTGACAGAGGCTGCAGTGGATCGATAACTCCAACCAGCGTCCAGCCAGAAAAACATACAAACATATGATGTTACTATAGCTTACAGAGATGGTGGGCAAGTTCGAATCCCGGTTAGGGCAGTTGGTACCTTCCAGTGGACTCACCACCCGCAGGAAGGTTCAGGGGGGTTGGT